AAAAAAAAAAAAAAAAAAACATATAGAGTTTCCGTAAGATGAATAATGACCTTTAAAGAGAAAATTGCATTTCAATACACGCAAATCCTTCAGGAAATTGTTTGAATATTCGTAAAATCAACATCAGTCCAAAGCGCGAAAGAGGAAAAAAGTCCATATCACGGGAAAGAATAAGAGCTATCGACAGATTCAGAACGACAAAACCAATTAAACCTAGAACAAATCCGAGAAAAAAAATAAAAAAAAAAAAATCTTGTAAAGATTCCAATCGCAAATAAATTTGGCGCACCTTGATGAAAACTGCAGAATAAAGGCGAAGGGAGATCGTGGGGCATAAGAGAGAAAAACACGAGCGAAATGAAGGGGGTCGCGTGGCCGCTTACACAAATATAACCAACACCCGGATTAAAAGAAGTGGTAATGGCCTTTTAAGCACTTTAGCAAAAACAAAAATGAAATCTGGCCACTTTTTTTAAATGAATAAAATATAGCTATTTTGGCTTGGCTTGCCAAAATACATTATTGCCCTTGTACACTTTTTTCATTCTTTTCCCTTTTCCATTTTCATTTTATTCTATTTTTCTTCTCCCTTTTTCCATTTACAGAGTGCTCATCTCATTCTCGGCGAAAACTTTTCTCCGCTCCCCTCATTCTCGGAGATTCACAGTGCTATCTCATTCCGACGAGTCACAGTCCATCGGTGATGAGTGAAGGTTTCAATAACCTCTAAGCAAATAGTGTGATGTGCATGCAATTTACTATACTAAATTTGGACTGAACCCACACTGCAAGTCTACATCCCATAGATCAAAAAGGCTTGTGCATGTACGAAGAGAACATGGAGGAGTAGTGATCATTATATTGCACTTGGGACCCAAACGGGTCATCCCCAAACGCATCCATGTAATCGAGCTGAAAATCGAGCGACTTTTCCAGGTCACTCCACTTTGGCTTGCTCTGGACCTCCTTACTATTATTACCACATGCAGGGGCGGATTTACATTAGCTTAAGGGGGGGCCATTGTCCCCTCCAAACTTTTGCTTAATACATATGTATGTATATATATATATATATATTATAAATTAAAAATTTATAAAACATATCCAATTTATACTCATTTCCATAATTATTACAAATAACTGTATCGCTCTATTTTTTATATAGTTTTAACTACACCATATTTATACCCTTTCAACAATGTTTGATAATTTTATGTTTGATCTTAAGTACAATTAAATAATTTAAGAATAATTTGGAATAGAAGAACATTCAACATATGCAATTCAATAGTTCAAAATAGAATTGTTAGAACTATTAATACGACAGTAGACATTCTCTTGGTTATTTTATAGTTAGAACAACTACACTCTTCCAACAAATATATTTATACTTTTATACTTAAATACCATATTTTACAGACAAATAAAAGTGTGCCATTTTTTCATATTATGACAATGCATTTTTAGTAGGAAAATATATTTGATTTAACAATTAGACAACCTACCAATTATAGCGTTTGTGTTAATATCGAGCAAATAATTAATGAGTTTCGTGAGTGTAAAGAATGTTGAGCATTTAAACTAACAAAATTAAGAAGTTATGTATTTTATAGTGCAACTTACTAGTTATTTTATCCATTATAAAATGCATAGTGCAACTTATTAATTGTTTTATCTATTTTAAAATGCAATTTTACGCCTACATATATGTTTGTGTGTGAGAGAGATACTATAAATTATATAATTGCCCTCGAAATGTTATCCGTGTCAAGTCAAGTTGAATACATCATGTTTAATCTTCAATCTACTCGATTTGTTTAATAAAGAAGTTTGAATAGTCTTTCTAGCTTGACTCATTTGAATATATGAATGATATGAGATCAAATTATCACAAGTTAACAAATACAGTCCGATTCAAATTAACTGCTTTGGCCCCTCCCAAACTTTTTTTCTGGATCCGCCCCTGACCACATGCAAACTCGCTACTCGGGTCTCTATGCAATTCTTGCATCGAGGCCGAGAGGTCAAAGTGTGGTATCATGTCACCGAACGAGCCTGACGTTGGACTTCTGTTCCTCCTCGCTGTCTGAGAACTGCACGTCCGTCTCGTCCACATTATAGTGCTTCTCGATTGTCCCTTTCTTGTTTTATATACGGCACAAGACCCAATCATCGAGCTTCCCGGCTATTCTCGCTCGTTTTCAGGGAGTGCTCTTCTCCTCCACAGAGCCGCAACTGTCTTCTCCAGCGATTCAAGGTGCCTTTATTTATTTTCTTTTTTGTGTCTTTTTGGCGATTTTTAGGATTTTTTAGTTAAAATGTGTATTTTGAGTTATTTTCCAACAATTGAAGGTGCATTTTGTTATTTTTATTTTGGGGTTTTTAGGCGATTTTTAGGGTTTTTTAGTTAAAATGTTTTATCGTTTCAAACAAAAAAATAGTTAAAATGTGTAATGTGCACCATGTGGTTTCTTTTGGAAACATTTCTTCTGTTCTGTAATGCGCACTATGCAGTTTCCTTTAACCAATTTCAAAATCTTGAGCATTTTTCTTCTATTTTGGGGATTTTATATTTCCAAATAAATAAAAAGCCTTGCATAAGTTCCAGAGAACAAAAAGTAATGAAGGCAGAAAAGAGGTCAATAAATAAGGTGATGAGAGCACCAAACCAATCATTAAAGTTAATTAAATAGAGAAGCTTTGATCTTCTTTCAAATCTCAAAAAAGCAACGAAAAGACAATTTCTTTTTTTGCAACTGAGGCTCAATAGCGTAGATGCCAATGCTAGATTAAATTGTGGAATTAATTTCAATTTTTTTTTTGAGCTAATAAACGTACCAAATCGTGAATGAAGATGTAGGAATTATTTTTTTCAGACGACTTTTTAGGGCTATTTTTCTTGAGGTGTTAGGTTGTATATGTTGGATTGTTAAAGTTCTGAACTTAAGCAGGAAAAATGCAACAAGTTATTGAATTTCAATGGCCAACATTATAATTGATGGTCATGGTTTAAGTTTTATAAAGCTGTTATCTGTTGTTGTTGGTCAAGTCTCGTAAGATACGAGAGTCTTGTGGTTTATTTCTTGAGGTCTAGTCTCGTAAGATACAAGAGTCTTGTGATATGAGAGTCTTGTGGTTTATTTTTTATATAGCTGTTAGCTGTTGATGTTTAGTCCATCTCTGAAAAATGTAACTTTTGTCAA